GGGCTGCACCCCCAGCCCAGCTCAGCGTCTGGTGTTGAGTCATAGCTCCATAGCAGATTTGTCCAGTGAAGGGACAAGCACAGCCTGAGCCCAGTGTTCTTCAAGGTCAGTCTCTCTCGCTCTTTGCTGAAGCCTTGGGTCTTTGTTTCCTTCCAGTGGCATCACAGTAATAGCAGCAGGCACTTACAGAGTGGGAACGGTGTGCCAGGCACTGCCATTTACCCTTTTACTTGATGCCTCGGTTTCTTTGTGATAGGTCATGTGACCACGCTACTGGGTACGTACGAAGGTCACACCATCCATACTGTTGGTAGTTGGGTCACTGCTATTCAAACCCAGGCACTCTGGCCCCAGGGTCCATGCCTTGGGCCACCGCTCCGTGCTGCTGCAGAGCCAGAGTGAAGGAGGCGAAGGTAAAGACAGACAGACCCGGGGCCTGCTCCCAGGAACCAAGCAAAGCCCTCTTTGCTCTCAGAGGCTTACACTCTGGTTTCCTAAGCCAGGCAGACCAGGCAGTGTTCTTCCCATTGGTGCATTTGAAAAGGTTAGATTCTAACCTTGTGTAAAGCACGTCGTGATGGAACCTGATTAAAAACCTAATAAATATAAAACGAGGTCAAGTCCAGAGAGAGAACTGCTTAAGATCCAGAAGAAGCTTTACTTAATTTTGGTGTTAGCTGGTGAATTGATTTGAGGTTTGCACAGTGGCCTTTAGAGGTCACGGCTGCAAAGGCAGATGCGTGTGCCCTCAGCCCAGCCTAAGGGAGTGCAGCTCCAGGGCCCCCTTCCCAGTCCCTAGCACCAGCCAAAGCCCCACCCCTGGCCACACATCTCTGTCCACACTATGGCTTCTTTTCCACAATGCATCTTACCTTAGAACAGCCTCCTCTTCCAGAACATGCCAAATCCTCCACTTAGGTAGACTTGATGCCTCCTGGCCAGGAAGAAACTAAATCACCTGAAGCCCTAAATTTAGAATCTCTGTATTGTAACTTTGTAGTAACTATGTTTGCAGTTAGCCACGTTCCAAATTACGGGACTCTTTCAAGAGGCCCATTGCAGATGACCAAAAGCCTTGGTGATGAAGGCAGCTCATCAAACACCTACTTTTACACCCGCCATCATGTCCTCTCATGCTGGTCACCATCTGCTGACCCCAGTCAGTGCTTCTGGGAAAAGCTAGGTTTGTAAAGGAAGTTTCCTGAGTAGATATTAATAGCACATACAGCCGTGGTTCTCAAAGTGTGGTCTCTGGATCAGCAGCAACACCAGCATTCTCTGGGCACCAGTTAGACATGCAGATTCTCTGGCCCAGCAATCTGTGCTAAGAAGCCCCCCAGGGGATTCCAAAATCCTCTCAAGTTTGAGAACCACTAAAATAGACAAAAGGTAGAACAAAAAGCCTTTCCAGTCCCAAATGGTAAAGGGCATGGTAGTGGAATGCCTGCGCCTGCCATTTCAGCACTAAACTGAAAAGTTTAGGGCTTTTACTGTATGTTGAATAATAATTATTTTAAGACTCACTTTTCTGAATTTTAAAAGTAAGTCCCCAGGTATTCTGGCCTGTGAAAACCTCTTTCCATCTTCATCTGAATAAACGTGCCCAGAACATCCTTTTATCACTCACAACAGGGGAGTTGGAAGGCAAAAGTTATTTTCCACCAATATAAAGTCTTAGACTTTTTTTTCATAATTTATTGAATTCTTAACACACTACCTGGCACACTTTAAATGCTGCTCCTAGGGATGAGAGGCTTTACGTTGTAAAGTCTTTAATCTGAGCTCACAAGAACCCCACTTTAAGAAGAGGAACTAGAGGCAAAGAGAGGTTTAGGAATCTGCCACCCAGGGCTGAGAGGCATCTATTTGCTGGAGCACAGATTTGAGCCTCACTTGTGTCCCCAGACCCAGGTTTGGTCCTGCTTTGGATTTGCCTCCTGCTTAATGAATATGTGAGGACCAGAAGTCAGCTGTGCTCAGCTCAGAGCACCTGTATCCATCTGAGCATTGAAAAGCCTTTTGATTGGCAGCCAACTCGGGGAAACCTTGACCCTAAAATGTAGTGCCGTAAAGACTAAACACTCTGCACAGTCATTTCATTTAAAATTGAGTAATTTTGTTGTTCTATTACCTTGAGGTGGGTTTCTTTTTTTAGTGGTGGTGGTGGGCTACATTTTCTTGCTTGTTTTGCTGGAAATTATCACTAGCTGTTTACCTTAGGCCTCATGGAGGGTCTTACGTATTTCTTGTGCAATCCACAGCCAAGCACCTTTTCAACCCCAAGCATCTGTCTCCTGGTAAGTACTGGCTCCAGATAAGTCGCGCCAACCCCAACACTGTTTTTTTTTTTTTTTTTTTAAGAAAATACAGTAATTTGCAGGTTTTATTTGTCATTGCTGTGAGGCAAGAGTTCCCACACACCCCATCCTACCACCTGTAATGAGACTAACAGGAAAGCCAAGCACACACACTGCTGAAATTTCAGGAAGAGTTCATGGGCCTCAAGGACAGATTGAGGTCAAAGGCATTTTACCTTGGGCCGGCCTGGTGGCACACTGGAGAGTGCGCCGCTTGGGAGCGCGGGGATGCTCCCGCCGAGGGTTCGGATCCCATGTGGAGACCGGTTCCCGCTCACTGGCTGAGCGCGGTACAGGCGCGACACTGGGGGTTGCAATCCCGTTGCCCATCAGTAAAAAAGACAAAAAGGAAAAAAAAAAGGCTTTTTACCTTAATGTTCAGCTTTGATGGATTTTTAAAGGCGGGAGGCAACAAAAGTCTTCCACCATTTTCTCTCTCACCTAAAAAAAACTCATAAGGAGCCTCACACAAACCAAAGAGAGAACATGGAATTGCTATTTCAAAAGGCATAGCAAAAAGGAGTTTTGATAGAAATATGGACCAAAATAAATAAGCAGCAAAACAATCTCTAACATATCCTCCAGAAGCCTGGCATACTGGTTCAGTTCTGGACACTTGGATCACTGCTCCCTATTTCTACGGGGGTGGCACAGGGGCCCAAAGCAGGGAAACCTAAGGCTGGAGCCCAACAGGATGAAACTTGGGGGCAGCCTCGGGTCTTGAAAGCCTCGCCTTCCTGGAAGAGCAGGTCAGGGTGCAGCAGAGCCCAGGGCTGGGCACCTGCCAGCAGCCACAATCTCAGATGAATGGAATCAAGTCAGGGGCCACTGAAGGGAATGAAGGAGGGGCTGTCCTGGCTGTGAGGGACACCACAGCCTGCTGTGGAAGTGCCTACCCCTGGCTCGTCCTGATGCATCTCCAACTCATAGATGGGGAAGCAACAGCTCAGGAAGGTGCAGTAACCTGTCCTAGGCCACACAGCCTGGCCCTCCATTTCCAGAGCCAGAAGTCTTTGTGCTTCAGAACGAAGACAGTGGCCCTACCACCCCACTGGCATTTACCATGTGTCAGACACATGGCGTGTGTCATCTCATTTAGGCAAGAACAGCCCTGAGAATGGAAGCACTGTCATTGTTCACATTTTTCAGGTGAGAAACAGGCTTCAAAAGGTGGAGAAACTTGCTCAAGGTCTCACAGCTGGTGAAGAGATTGTCAGCCTGCAAAGGTGTGTGCTGCTGACACTGCAGAGGGGCTTCCTCCCCCGTCCTTCCGGGGTGGCTCTCCTACCGCCCGCCAGCCATGTAGGTGTGGCTACCTTCAGGGTTCTCTACCTGTCTTCAACTTGAAACATAGGAGCTTGGGGAGAGAGCACTGGCAGTGGGGGAAATCCATGCCCTGCTGCAGGGCCTGCCAAGGTTGTTCACTCCGGCCTGACTCACCTGGAAGAGGCAACATGTATGTGTGCGTGTGTAACTGACTTTATGACTGTGAAACTCAGTTAATGCTGTTCTGTCCTTGCCCATACTGTTTCTTCTGGTACATTGCCTAGAGGAATATCCATCAATGCTTAGGACACAAAATAGAAAACAACACTGTTCAAGGACCAAACTGTTCAGGAAAAACATTGCAGATGTACAGGATGTAAGTGAAAGTCCCTTATAATTCTGTCCCCACAGATAACCACTTGTCTATTTGTTTATAATTTATTTTTTAAGATTACAAAAGTCATACACATTTAAAGATACATCAAAATGAATTAAAACTAAATGCTTCATCACTCAGGTTACCTTCGTAGGTGCAGGGTCTAAGGCCACACCCATCAGTACAACTCACCACGTAGGTTACCAGGTCCCCCTGCCATTGGCCCTCTTGATTTTTGGTTTCAGTAAGTAAATAGAATGGGCAAGGACTGGCCTGAAATCCTTTTGAAACACAAGTAGGATCCAGGGACTCCGATTTCCAATCACCCAGGATCTGTCCCTGTCCCCGATCCTGCACTCCACTCCAGCCCCACTGGGCCTATCTGCTGTTCTTCACATAGACGTATACCCCTAAGGCTTTGCATACACTGTCCCATGCAGAGGCTTCTCTTCCCCCACATGTCAACTCAACTCCCTTCCATCCCTCCACTTGGTGAAGAACCCCTCCAGTGATAAGTCTCCCTTAGTGACAGCCACCCTGACCTCCGTTAAGTGTGTGCCACCGTCCACCCATGGCTCTACCCCTCTGCCTTACCTTGCTTCCATGGCAGGTATCACCCCGAAAAGCCTACTTGTGATCTTGTCTCCTCCCATTAGACCATAAGCCACCCGAGGGCAGATTTGTTCATTGATACATCTCCAGCACCCAGAACAGTGCTTGGCACACAGTAGGTATTCAGTACCTGTGTGGGTTTTTTTTTTGTTTTGTTTTTGTTTTTTCCTTTTTTGTCTTTTTTCGTGACCGGTAACGGGATCGCAACCCTCGGTGTCGCGCCCGCACCGCGCTCAACCAGTGAGCGGACCAGTCTCTATATGGGATCCGAACCCTCGGCGGGAGCGCCACCACACTCCCAAGCGGCACACTCTACCGAGTGCGCCACCGGGCCGGCCCAGTACCTGTGTGTTAAATGAACAAATGTGGGCCCCATCTCTTTCGAGGCTGGGAAGTAAACAGCCTGCAGCCTGTGCTCTTCCCGTGGGTGGTTTCTCTCTCGGCTAATCTCACTTGTCATTTCAGCTCTGGGAAGCTGAAAGTTCAAGCCCAGTTCCCTCACCTTGCAATACAGACAATAAAGCTCATAGGCGCTTGTCAAAGGGAAGAATGCCTTCCGTGGGGCATTGTGACCCAGAGGCTCTCACAGACCATCCCAGGAACTTTGGATTCATCTTGGTGATTTTAAAAGACACAGAAAAGAGTTTCTAGGCTGCCTTCCCTGAGTCCTAGGCCAGGTCAGTCTCCCCCGTGGAACCCTCTCATGGCATCCTGTTGAAAACACTGCACACTCATAGCTATGCAAAGGATTAACTAGGACATCTCCATATCCTTGTTCTCCACCAAGTGATAAGCTTCAGAAGCCCAGGATCTGTTTTGTTCTTTTGCCTCCCCCAGCACCTGGCACTATGCATAGCACATAGTGTTTTGAGGGACAGATGACTGTGCCTCATGTAATGCCCCACTCTGCTTGGCACACACGATGTTGAACATTCCCCATGCTATAAAGGAAACATAGTGCTCCTCTCCTCCAAGAGCCATCAGGCAAGTTCAGATAGTAATGCCAAATGGATGGCACCACCAGCTTGGGAAGACAGTGCTTGGATGAGCATGTGCCTGTTTCTCTCCATGGAGGCAGTGTGGAATGATAGGGGTGATTTTAGGGCCTAGAGGGGACACCTTAACTCTTGTTACTTGCAGCCCAAAGCATTCCTGACTGATCTAACCACTGATTATAATGTCTTCATCATTACCCACCACAGGAAGCCTGGAGGTAGGGAGTCCAGGGTTGATTTGTGATCCAGAGATGCCATTAAAAGCCCAGACTGTACCCTTCTGCCCCCACCTGGATCACAAGAGGGTGGCCACTTTCAAGTCATCACCTCCACACTCCAGGAGGAAGAAAGGAGAGGCGGAAGAGCCAGTAATTTCCCCTCCTTTTATCAGGAGACAGCTTTCCCAGAAACCTCCACCTCTGCCCAGCAGACTTCACTTATATCTTACTGGCCAGAGCCCCATCACCTGGAGTTCTCAGTGGTCAGGGAAGCTGGAAAAGTACAGGTTCAGCTACAAAGACGGGAAAACTGAAGCAACAAGGGAGAAATGGATCGGTAATAACTGTAGAGTTAGACAGCCAACAGCATCTGCCAAAACTATGTAAGATATTTTTTAGCATAACCACTTTGCAGGGTTTTTTTTTTTTTATTACAAAAGTAATGGATATATGTTGTTACTTTAGGAAATAAAAATTTAAAATTCCACAGTCCCATCACACAGAAGTAACCACTGTTTATTCCTGGTTTATTATCTTTCTAGATCTTTTGTATTTTTTAACATGGATGGAACCACACTATGGGTTGCTCTGTAATTAGCCTTTTTACCTGATATTGTGAAAATTCTTTCCAAATCATTAAATGCTCTTTGCAGAATCACATTGTATATCTGAGTGTTCCATTGAATAAGGGTATCATGATTTGCTTATTCAGTCCCTTGGTGTGGACTTTGATGTTTATAAAAGTAAAATGTGAGTAACCAACATAAGTGATTCTCCTCATAGCCAAATCTTTGACTCAGAAGTTCCCCTTCTAGGAATGTATCATAAGGGAATAATCTTGGATTTGCATATTCCTTAGAGCTTTTGAAATATTCTATCAAATCACCTTCCTCCATGGATTGTTCCAGTGTACAATCCCTCTAACAGTTATGAGTGTCCAGTTCCCCCAAAATTTTTACCAGCACTGAAAAAAGGACAGACTGGGGGAATGGGAGTGGTAACCTAACCATGCCCCCTCATTTCCCAGATGAGGGGACAGAGGAAAGCACTTGAAGACGGCCACACAACATGGCCAGCCCTAGGACCCAAGCCTCAGGACCAAAGGCCAGACCCTTCAGAGAGAGCCAAAGCCAGGAGAGCTTGGGGTACGATGTCTAGCCAGCCGTGGGCATGGGCAGTTCCGGTCTGGGAGTCACCCTGGGCAGGTAGATTTGCTTCTGACTGAGCACCATACTGCCACTCAAGCTGTGTGACCCTGGGTTAATCATGTAACTGTTTCTGGGACCAGTAAAAAGTGGAAATACTGCTCAGAGCCTGGTCTTCTTGCCAACCATCATGTCTGCTGTGGACTGAATCGTGTCCCCCTAAAATTCATATGTTGAAGCTCTAACCCCCAATGTCACTGTATTTGGAGAAGGGGCCTTTAAGGAGGTAATTAAGGTTGTTAGGTCATAAGGGTGGGGCTCTAATCCAGCAGGACTAGTGTTCTCACAAGAAGAGGAAGAGACTCCAAGAAGGCAAAGACCTTCACACACAGAGGAAGACCGTGTGAGGACGCAGTGAGAAGATGACCATCTGCAAGCCAAGGAGAGAGGCCTCAGGAGAAACCAGCCCTGCCAACATCTTGATCCTGGACTTCTAGACTCCAGAACCGTAAGAAATAAGTTTCTGCTGTTTTAGCTACCCAGTCTGTGGTATTTTGTTAAGGCAGCCCTGGCAGAGTAGTCAAGTACCCAACAGGTGTGATCACTGCTACTTCTCCTGAATCTTGAGCCACGAGTATCAGTTACCCTGAAACTGGAGTCAGATTCTTTCTATAAGCCTAGAATACGCATGTTGCAGATGCTGTGGATGCCCCGCCCATTATGCCACCTGCCTCTGAGGTTCCCATGGCTGTGCTGGACATTTCCCTGCATGCTGACTGCGTCCACCCCACCTCTCCCATGCTCTGTGCCTGAGGCTCTGCTGGTGCCTGCTCAGCCTATGTGCAGGCCACATCTGCCAGAAAGTACCTGGGAGCCAGTGCCCCTGGGCAATGAGGCATTGGAATTCACCAATGAGGAATGGAAGTCAGAGCTGTCCCAACATTCTGCACAGCTCGTCAGACAGCCCCCAGCAGGGTCAAGCACCAGTTGCCCATGTTGACCAGCTCACTGATGCCCCTTTATTGGCCCATACTCCTCCACGCTCACTCTTACACACACACACACACACACACACTCACACACGCACGCCTCAGACTCCTACTTCCTGGAATGCCCTCTCAAATAAACTACTTGTCTCAGCATCTGCCTGTCACGCACATGGGAAAGAAAGCTGTGGAGGTGGTGGGGGTGGTTTTGTTTTAAGAGACTTTATTTTTTAGAGCAGTTTTGGGTTTACAGAAAGATTGATGGGCCGGCCCGGTGGCGCACTGCTACAGTGCGCCACTTGGGAGCATGGCAGCGCTCCCGCCGAGGGTTCGGATCCCACATACAGACCGGTTCCCGCTCACTGGCTGAGTGAGGTGCGGGCGAGCCACCGAGGGTTGCGATCCCATTGCCGGTCCCGGTCCGGTACGAGCGCGACACTGAGGGTTGCAATCCGTTGCCGGTCACGAAAAAAGACAAAAAAAGGAAAAAAAGAAAAAAAAAGGCGAGCCACTGAGAAAGATTGAGTGGAAGGTATAAAGATTTCCTATATACTCCCTCCCCCACATGCACAGCCTCCCCCATTATCAACATCCCCCACCAGAGTGGTGCGTTTGTTATAATGATGAACTCACACTGGCACATCATTATCAGCCAAAGTCCATAGTTTACATTAGGGTTCCCTGTTGGTGTTGTATATTTTATGCATTTTGACAAATGTTTAATAATATGTATCCAACGTTCTAGTATCACACAGTATTTTCACTGCCCTAAAAATCCTCTGTGTTCTGCCTATACTTCTCTCCCATTTCCCTAATCCCTGGCAACCACTGATCTTTTTACTTAGTTTTGCCTTTTCCAGAATGTCGTCGTATAGTTAGAATCATACAGGATATATAGCCTTTTCAGATTGGCTGCTTTAACTTAGTAATATACATTTAAGGCCTCCATGTCTTTTCATGGTCTGATAGCTCTAGATGACCTTGGGTATGGCAATGACTTTTTAGATACAACACCAAAATCATGATTCATGAAACAAAGAATTGATAAACTGGACTTCATTAAAATTAAATTTTCTGCTCTGTGAAAGACACTGTCAAGAGAATGAAATGATAAACCACAGACTAGGAGAAAATATTTGCAAAAGACCTATCTGAGAAAAGACTGTTATCCAAAATATACAAAGAACTCTTAAAGCTCAACAAGAAAACAAAAACCCAGTTTAAAAATAAGCCAAAGACCTGAACAGACACGTCATCAAAAAAGATAAGTAGATGGAAAATAAGCATATGAAAAGATGCTTCGTATCATATGTCATCAGAGAAATGTGAATTAAAACAACAATGAGATACCACTACATAACTATTAGAATGGCCAAAATCCAGAACACTGACACTACCAAATGCTGGAGAGGATATGGAGCAACAGGAACTCTCATTTACTGCTGGTGGGAATGCAAAATGGTGCAGCCACTTTGGAAGACAGTTTGGCAGTTTCTTACAAAACTAAACATACTCTTACTATATGATCCAGCAATTGCACTACTAGATATTTTACCCAAAGAAGTTGAAAATTTATGTCCACACAAAGACCTGCACGTGGATGTTTACAGCAGCTTTATTCATAATTGCCAAAACTTGGAAGCACCCAAGATGTCCTTACATAGGTGAACAGATACGTGGTGCATCCAGATAATGGAATATTATTTGGCACTAAAAATAAAGCTGTGTTTTTAATTCAAGACAGATCCAAGTGCATACACATACACACTACCCAAATAGGACATATGCTCTGGATCAATGAGCAGCACTGAAGCTGCAGAGCCACATTTTCATCATGGGATGAGGGCAACTGAAGCAATGGCTGCTGCCAGGGTATGTCGAAACAGTAATGGACAAGCCACGACCTGGCCAAGACAGACCTGGGTTCAAATCCCAGCTCTCACACTCACTGGCAGGGCAATCTTAGGGGGTAAATCACTTTCTAGGTCTCCATTCCATCAACAGGGAGAGCAGAAATAGCATTGGCCTCACAGGATCAGTGAGAGGCCTGAACAGGATAAAACCGAGTGTGTCTGGCACATGGTGTGTGCTCAGCAGAAGGCAGCCATGGAGCTGTGCTGCTCAGACCTCCCTACAAGAGAGGACTTGCTGTTGAGCTGCAAGGAGAGCAGTGAGCCGACAGCTTCCAGCTGCAGCCCCTCTAGATATGCCTCAGCTTTTGAACCAAGGCCATGCTCTTTCTGGGCAACCCCAGCTAATGACTGAACACAGCAGAGTACTAGGACTTGGTCATGTCCATCCGACATGGGACTTCTCTAAAGGGACATCTTTATGCAGGATCTCCCCTTTGGACTAGCTGAGACCATGGGATCTATGTTGCAGGCTGAGTCTCCCTGCCCAATCCTGCTTCTTCCCCTTTTTATCTCTCACAAGCATCCCACTCCACTCCCCTCCCACCTCAAAAAAAAAAAAAAAAAAAAAAAAAATTCACTCCTACCTCCCTCTCAGTTGTGTCTTCTGGAAAGATGATGCTTACACATCCTTTCCTTCCTTCCTTGATTCTGCACCTGCTACATGAAACAGCAACAGAGACAGGTTTTCATAGGACTTCATTTGAGGGTCTCTAGAATTTTACTCCCAGTGGGATCCTTCCAAAGGAATCAGGATCAGTCAGGGCTCTTCCATGACATCCAACAGAAACAGACCCTAGTTAATTTAATAAGAAAAGGTGTAAGAATGCATTGGAATGCTATGGGATACTCAGAGAATTTAAGGAAAACTAAAGAACCAGGCTCTGAAAGGATATGTAAAGCTGACATTTCACAATTTCCTGAAATTAATTATCTCTTTTTTTTTTTTAGAAAACCACTGTTGATATCAATAAGCTTTAGTCAAATTTTAGTCCTCCTAACATTCCACTCAGTGTTCAGATTCCAAGGAGATGTCTACTTGGCCCAGGAGGTGGTGGGGCACTTTGGGAAGCAACTCTTCTTCCACAGATGGACAGACCCACTAATTCTGTATCCAAGGAAAGATCAGAGTACCTGTCATCAGAAGATAAATGGATCTGCCGGATGGCTTACTCCACCCACAGAACCTAATGGGAGAAGGAAAGATACCCACCCTGCCCCAATGCCTGGCAGGAGCTCAAAGCGATGGATCTCCCATGCATTTCCACCTGTTCAATCCTGCCTAAACCATCATCCATTCTTCCACTAAGAATTTGAGTTTCTTGGGCTCAACATAATTGTACCTAAATTTAAGGTTTTTCATCTTCCAAAGTATCAGCTAAGAAGTCAAGAAGGACATACCCAAATTCTTCCAAAAGCACTTGTTTGGGATGTGATAAGCTGCCTCCCTTTTCCCCAAAAGAGAGCAACCCCTCCCTCACACAGCCCCGCCCCCCTCCACTCTCCACAGTGATGGAGGACAGCTGGCATTGGGGACAGTACCGATTTCATCATCAGGCTTTATTATCTTTAAAGGATTTATTATCTTTAAAGGCCATTTCACATTCCTTTAATTTTTC